TAGTCAGATAGATAGATAGATAGTCAGATAGATAGATATAGATAGATAGATAGATAGATAGATAAGCATTGATCCTATAGATTGTATATAACCTCCTCACCGGTTCTGGACAGCAGCTCTCCCAGCTGGTTGCAGATGTTCGCCTCCTCCCTCAGGTTGCTGCTGTTCTGGGCTTTGCTCTTCGCTTTCTGCAGCTCTGCTCAGGGATCGAACACCAAACACTTAAGCAACAACACTATAAACACGTGTCCACTTGTCCAGCAAAGCGATACTTACGCTTGATCTCCCTTGAGGAGCTCATCTTGAAGCTGGAAGTCACCGACAGGGCAGCTTCACTTTAGCCTATAGCGCTAAAACAGAGGAGAGCTGACGGAGGAGCGGTGGGGAGACACAGGTGAGCAGCTCCTCACTTCCTGTGAGGGTCAGGGTTGTGATGAACCTGATCTCTGTGTCATCCGTGAGTTAGATCGTGTTCAGAGTCTCACAAAACATCGCTACACAAGAAACACAGCTCCAGCGATCAGTCTTCACAAACACCCGCCATCACTCTCAGCCAATCACTGCGCTGCCCCCGCGCGAAGGGTTATTTACCCCGATGAACAGTTCTCAGGCACAACTTCCGCCTTAATATGTTGGCTTTTAAAAGATCCTGTGCCCCCATCATCGATCATCTGCTACAAGACAGCACTCGAGTCTCAGCGCTTCTGATTTCTGGACATGCGTGTTAATGTAGTGTCGCCAGAGAGGAGCGTGAGGCTGTTCGCCTGACAGACCTAACTCTGGGGGAAATACCCAAAATGAATGTGAGGCCGCTGATTGGCTAACCACAGGGTCGTAGTTTTGACGTAGTTCCACGCGGAAGCAGAAGAGGAGGGACAAGCGGCAGAAGAAGCTCGAGTTTTTCAGCCACATGCTGACATCTAGCGACGTTTGACGATCTCAGATACACTGAAAACTACAATACATCAGATACTTCACACAGTATTTACTGTCAACACACCGCTTATATACAGGAAGTACTGCACACTGACCTCTCGCCATGACAAAACAAATCTATTATGTATTCTGACTATAAGGACTCTATAATCTTTACATTATAAATATAAGTTTGTATATGTTTATATATGCAAAAACTTATTTTCTTTGTAGAGTGACATGACCAGTGCAGTATTTAAGTTTTCATTTCTGGTGATGTTGTATAGTATGGTAGCAGTACACACACACACACACACACACACACACACACACACACACACACATATGAAACATTGAGCCAGTGGTGAGTTTTGAACCGACCACACTTAAGTTTATTGTCATAAAATCCCTGTAAGTTAAGAACTGGAAGAGTTGGAAAATTGTGATGAAGCATCTCAATTATTAGTAATATTTCTTTGTAAAATTTGAGCTGATCTTCAAATATTGCTGGTGCTGTGTCGGCTAAGTCATAAGAAGAATTAGTTTCCTACTCCAAACAAAAAAGAGAATGAAATCATGATCAACTTAAGAGCTTGTTTTTGCTGCCAACTAGTGGTGACAACATGCTTCTTCCAGTCTCTCTGACGTCACATGATAGCAGAGAGAATGTGACCTCACCTGTTTAACACATATATATACCTTTTGTCCCATAGTGGGCAGTGCAGCTATCTTTCCAAATTTTAAGGTGGTTACCCTTTAAAGATCCAGTGTCACTCAGGCTTTAATAACCAAAAATGAATTAAAGTAAGTTCATTTTAACAATCTTAGTTAGAATTGTGTTGTATATGATATTCAGGACATTTTCTTAGAGACATTTTTAATGGACGCAAAAGGTGTCCATATTTCATGAGACTGTCACCTTTTTATCAGCTCTACAATCTTTTACTCAATGTTTTGTTTTAACTATTTGAAATTCAGCCCATGACATCTCTTGCATGACTCTGATGGGGATCTTAAATGATATTTGAACACCCCAGACAACAGCAGGCTAACTGTAGCTCAAGTGAAATAACTATAATGTGTTTATTGTATTTATGATAAGAAACACGACATGAACCTGTTTGTTGCCTGTGTTGGTTTGTGCAGTTCCATTCACTCAGCAGGATCCTGTAAAGAAGGATCAACAAATCTCAAAAATACAAACAATACCGCACATTACTTACACCAATTTTCAGATTGACATCCATGGATCTAACCCAAATTCATGATCTTATAATCCAACTGTTCAACAGCTTGCTTAAAAAAAAAAAGCGGGGCGGGGGTCATTTGGCTTAGATGAGTGTGACGTCAGTGCTGAGACGTTTTTATTTTTTTTTGATTGGCTTATTCGGATGGACAGCGCACGTTGACAGACAAATAGTGGAGCAGATTGTAGTGTGTTGCTTAATTAAAAAACGTCCAGTGTTTTCCCCCCTTGATAAGTATGTGAGGATCAGACTATTGGAAGCTGTGTGTTTAGACTGAATGCATGTGGTGTTTTATTTTTTATCCATCATCTGACAAATCAATGAAACCACGATTGAGAGGAAAACCATTTGGTGTAATGTCTTAACATTTACACACTCAATCAATATAATATGATATTTATTAATAATATATATCACATTATCCCTGGGTGAGTTTTAGATCTGCAGATTTGTTGTTTGAAAACTCTCTCTGCCTTATTTGTACTCAATGTGTCGACACATCAACCTGTGAAATCCTTTTTGGAGCATCCCAAAATATTTCCAAACAGTCTCCCCGGGGAAGACGCAGTGGAAAACACCACAGCAGGCAGAAAGAATATAACTCTGCCAGTCCAGGCTTTCATCAAAACTTCTAAAACTCAAATCCTGCAAACACTGTCCTGTCTTTTTTTCTTTTTGCTGAACATCAAAACCCATTTTTAAATGCCAGACATGAGACTGCAGCATCAGAAGGAGCACAGAAGCCTTTCACATCAGACACAGAGCTTCCTCTCAGCCTGTGGGAGTGTGTATCTCTAAACCGTTGACCTTACAAATGAGCATGCTGCATCATTGTGAGAATTGGTGTTTCTGGGCGGTGCAAAGTGGAGTAGAGCACAGCAGAGTGCAGGATATCTGAGCACAGCAGCACACAGAGAGGCAGACACATCCGCCGCTGGAGGGATCAAATCTGTACCATCTGACGCTCAAGGATTTATCGGTTTAGTCAAAATTGCTTTTCCCACTGTGGAGATTAAGCACCGTAGAATGTTTTCCACTCAGGCCGTAGAATAGCCCAGTGTAGCTTCTGCTGCTGCTGCTGTTGCTGCTGTGTCCTCTCCCCTCTCTCATCAGCTCCGGCGCTGTGGAAGGGAATGTCTCAGGAAGGTGGAGAGCTGCAAGCCCTGGAGGGGAGTCGATTCTGAGTGACAGGAGAGGTGCGTCCTCTGGGGAATGTGAACCATGCAGGTGGATGCTGTTGTTGTGCTCTTCTGTGTGTGGATCGTGGGCGCCGCTGGGAGGATGGCCCAGTCAAGGGGTCACAAGCTGGAGACCTACAAACAGAGCAGGTAATGTGAAAGAAGTCACAGATGGATGAAAGGCAAACGCGTGGATGGTTTGATTCTCTCGACAGGATGTGGGACAGTGTTTTATGAAGCTTTTACTGCAAAAAATCTGCAAATATTTCTAAATATTTCTGCTCTTTTTCCTTGTCCCGATAATATTTTCACATAGATGGGTTTTTGATGTTCACACAATGTTGTGCTGTGTTTCCTGTGTCACCTGTGCTGCTCCCTCCCTCCTGAAAACTGACTTATTCAGACAGCAGATTGGAGAGCGAGAGAGAGACAGACAGAGAGAGAGGGAGAGAGAGAGAGAGAGAAAGAGAGAGAGAGAGAGAGAGAGAGAGAGAGAAAAAGAGAGAGAGAGAGAGAGAGAGAGAGAGAGAGAGGGAGGGAGGGAGACCGAGACCTAAATCCCCACATCTATTTATGTACTACTGGTGAATACCGTGTTCTTTTGCCCCACAACCACTGCGGGCCAGTTAATGACTGTTTACCCCAATAGCAGCAGTAGTAGTCAATGTCGTTTTCAGGTGATTATTTAGGCTAATTGCTGCTTCGTTAATGCGCGTCCATTGGATTAGATGTTTTAGTCGCTACCGATCTAGAACTGGAAATCATCCTTAGTTTCCCTCAGTTGAATTGGCCTGAACGTTAAAGGTGATTTAATTAGGATAGACTGTATATTTATTTTAGAATGTAAAAAGTTTTGGTGACTGCTGTTCAATGCAAGGAGCAGTGTATGCAGAGGAAACCTGCAGTGAGAACAGGTGGTGAGAGAAACATGACACAGAAACATTTACACTGTAAAACAACCTGATAATCAAAAAGGCTGAAATAGTTTAATGGACCTAGTTGCTGCAATTCATTATTTTTTCTTGTTTATTTTGACTATAAATTGACATATGTTTAGACAATGTTAACAAAAAGTTAAAAAATGTTTTAGTCTTAAAATGGCTTGTTTTGTCTGATCAGCAGTTTGATATTCAGACAAAAAGCTCCAATAAATATTGATTAATATTTATATCACCTTTCTGTTGTTTGACTAATTCGATAAATTGATTAATTGGCTATAATTAAAATGTTAGTTTTATCACAGCTGTTTATCACACTGCAGTATGTGAACGTGCAGCCTGACTATCAAGTCGACACCTCTGTTCTTCTGTACTGCAAAACAAGTGTTTAGCCCACACATTAAAGCATAAAAACAATTAGTGTGATTTATCTTTTATGTGTTTATATATGATGTTATTTAATTTAAAATCAACATTAACATACACAGCAGCATTTTTAGAATTAATTTAAATTTTGGAGTGTAATAATAACAATTGACCAGCATGTTTTAAAGTCCAACATAAATGCAATATTGCTAGATATTGGGCTCCTATCAATGTCAATATCAGATCTGAAAGCAGAGAGATAACACACTAACACACCAATTAATATTCCATTTTATTATCACTGTTGATACTAAACATGGGATTTGTTAAAGGTTCAGTGTGTAGAATTTAGTGACACCTAGTGGTGAAGTTGCATGTTGCAGCTGAATACCCCTCACCTCACCTTCCCCTTCCAAACATGAAGGTGTTTAGTTTGTCCAGTCTGGACTGCTCTCCGTAGAGAGGACCCCCTCCCAATGTAAATATGATTTGTACAATTAAGATGATTAAACACTAGTGAAAACCTCACAAGGATTAGTTTATATTCAATTTCCACCAATAGATCCTTTAACCTGAATCTTACACACTGGACTTGAAATGCTACATCACAGCTTCCTATCATTCTAGTTGCTTAATTCAAAAATCACAAACTTGAATGACACTCAGAGAGCGCACACCAGGCCAAACTGTCCCCTTACGAAACCACATGTAAAATCATTTTTGGATCTGCACCAAATTGCACAAACTCATTTCATACCTCTAAACATGCCTGACTAAAAGTTAACTAGAATTAACAAAATTTTGAAAAATGCCCTATCTCGCAATGTTTAAGAAAATGATGAAAAAAATACCTGATCCATTTACACCAAAATTAAATTGGGTTCTTTCCTGACTTATACCACATCTGTTCACCAAATTTCAGGATAATCCGCGCAGCAGTTTTTGCATTATCTTGCTAACTAACAGACAAAGAAATGCAGATTAAAACATGACGTCCTTGGTGGAGGAAAATATTCAGTTACCACACATTTGAACGGCGAGAACTTGGGAATGTTCGGTATTTGAAAAAAGCTTAGTTAAGATGGCTCTGAATAGACTTGACTCAGAAAAATCCAGATTTACACCATCTGACATATAAAAAATAAACAGTTTTCCATAAATGACAATAGAATTTCAGGATTTAACAAACAAAAACATTATTTACTTGTAGTCTGGCTGTCGCATGCAGCCCCCAAGTGAGAAACCGTCTTTGCCTTAATCTCTGGTGAAGATGATAAGATTTTCCCAAGCAGGCAAAGTACAGCTCTGTACGCCTCATAATACCATCAGTGTTGAATGATTTGCATCCACTTAATATATTCAACAAACCCTGTCAAATTATAATCCCCCTGCCTTTAGATACAGTATCACTTTTCATGCTATAAGTAGTGTTATTTATAGATCAGCGGCAGCATCGCACACAGCCGCCTGCTCGCATTCAAGATTGTCATCCGTTTGAGTTGAATACATGTGTTTGACATACACATACCTGTAGCTGCATGTGTGCATCACGGCAAACTGTCAGGATGCATGACAGGGTGAGTCTGTTCTCGCTGAGGGGACATGTGTGAAAAAGCGCGGGATTAAAGCTGCTGTTTTAATCTAAACAATCCATGAAATTACAGTCATCTGAAGTGATCATCTCAGCAGCCCTGAGGTGATTAAGAGGATCATTAAGTGTAAGAGGAGCACAATCATAATCATCTGTGGAAAATCTGCAAAAGACGGTTCAGCACAAGTGGCTCAAAGCTGTAATTTCTAAATGCCAGCGTGCTCTCAAATCTATTCTTCACCCCCCTAAACTCGTTGAAAGTCAGCTCACATCAGTCTCCTCTTTGCTGACACACAAGTCTGTGAATACAAATCAAGAGCGAATCTCTGATTCCTCTTCTAGCAGGAGGGTAAAAAAAAAAATCTCATGTTGAAGTGAAACTCGTCTCCTGCCTGCCTCCCATCGCTCCACTCCTCCTCCCACTCCTCGCCTGGAGTGTGAAATCGCAAGAGCTGCTGGATGTTGCCATGCGTAGGTTGTGGGAGTTTTCACTATGTTGCGTTCAAAAATTTCACTCATCGCCTTGAGGAGCAGGAGCGGAGCGCGGGATTTGTGTAGGACAGCAGAGTCCCACACAAGAAAAACATCAGAGGAAAAGACCCTCATGAGGTTTTAGAGATAATTTTGGGAGTTGTCGCTGGGTGATTCTTTGGACAGAAAAGAAGACATTTTGATGAAAGCTGCGAATGTCTCACTTTTGCGTTTTTGATGCTTGCAAGTATATAAAGCATTCTAACGGAAAGCACTGCCGTATGAAGCCAAAATAGCCCGCTAGCTACGTATGTAGTGAAACATGACATTGATTTTAGCACATCTTCTTTATTTAAAAGAAAACAGCATGCAAAATGTACGATTACCCCAACTTAGCTAAACTAAACCAACCACGCAGCTGAAGCAAGGCAGCCAAGCCAAGCTCATTCTGACTTAATGACTTAACCACACTAAATTCATCTAAAAGTAATTCCTGTAGTTGAAATACATACATTTTGATTGACTAACATCTTTGAATTTTAGTTAGTAGTTAGAATAATAATAATAATTACTGAATATACATTTGAACAGTAACCACCATCAGCCCTTGACTCAAGCAGAATCTTAAGTTACATTTAAATTACATCTATTAATTTACTTTTTCATAAATCATTTCATTTTCAATATAAAGTAATCACTAAAGTTTGACAATACTGTAATACTGTGGCTTCCTAAAAATAAAGACATTACCCCCAATCCACTTGTTGAGCCCGCAACTTCAACCCCCTCTTCTCTTTATTTTTGAAAAACAGGCCACTTTACCACAGGCCTCTGTGGTAAAGTGGCGTGTTCACCCTGATGCAGCCCGTGCAGCGATGCTTGCATGCAGGCCTGCCGCTGCAGAAACAGGCGTCAGGCCACACACAGCAGAGCAGAGCGCAGACCGCCAGTCTGCTGCATGGCGTCGTCAGGCAGAGAGGGGGTTGGAGCGGCATTTCTGCCAAGAGGATTAGGAACCAGCTGCTGGATGCTGGACGCAGACGACCAGCACCCAGTGCTCATCACTGCAGTGCAGCTATAGCTCCCACAGAACCCTGCTTCTGTTTGATTCTGCTCTTGTTGGGTTTTTTTCTGTTTCTGTACAAGCCCTTCATGTCTCCCTCTTTGTCACTTCCTCTGTGGTATTTCCTTAATGCATGTCCATGGTTGTCACAGGGATTTGGCCCTGTCTGTCACAGCATGCTCTACTCTATTAATCCATTTTAGGGTTTTTGGAATCTATCTTTTTTTTCTCCCTCTCTCTCTTTTACTCACTCTCTCTCTTTTTTTGTGTGTGTCTCTCTCTCCACTCGTGGCTTGAAAATGGTGCCTAAACGACAAATATGCAGAGGCACGCCTCTTGAAAAGTCGCACCAGAGAGAAACTGACTTCCTCCAAATTGGATGTGATGACGAAATGCTCTTTTGGCCTTTGTGGTGATAACGTGTGTGATGTAACCAACGTTTTCTATCTCCGGAAGAGAGGAGCAACAAAACAAAACAAAGAGAGGCTGAATTATTGTTGCTACTCTGAGCTATAAAGTGACGTGTGCAATGTCAATGGGTCAAAAAAGTTGTAGTTTTTAAATTTAAATTTGAAATTAAAAAAGAATTACATTGTCTTGGTAAAACTGAAGAAAACCAGAAATCTCAGCTTATTGTGGAGTGTTCTGCTGTTGCCATATGTGACAGATGTTCCTATTTATTTCATTATTTATTTATTATTTCTGCTCTTAATTAAAAGGTCACGGAGAGAGACCAGAATGGAGGGGGGTGGAGGTCAGAAATCTGGAAGGTGCGTCGTGATTCATTTCCTAATTGACTTTAAAAACTATGCATCACATGTCCACGCAGGTTTATTCTGACCACGTGTTTTATTGTCTCACAGCCCGATTTACAAACGAAGTCCAGACATGACAAAATCTCTGATGACAAAATCGGAGCAGCTCCTGAGAATAGACGACCACGATTTCACCATGAGACCAGCATTCGGAGGTGAGCGAAGAAATCGTTTTCTTTCATCAACAAAACTGCAACTCAGACAAACACTGGCATTAGAGGCTGTGTGGTCAATCATCAAGTGCAGCGGGATAAGATCTGTGCAGCCATCATTGGTCTGGGCCAAACTATATAAGCATTAAGCTCTCGGAGGCCTTAATGACACCATCCATGCAAGCTGCGCTGGAGTTTTCAATTGCAGCTCAATTCTTTACATCACAAGAGTGTTAATACACGTCTTTTGCATTGCTGTATACTGGAGGGATTTGATGTCAGCTTTTTAAACTGCAGGATTATTGAGCGATAAAGACACACAGGCTCTTCATTTTACTGGAATATCATACTGGAATATATATTCATAATCTTTTTAGCTCCGTTTATCTTTTGATTTGTCTTTTGTGGCGAATAACCACACACGTAAGAACTTAACTTTAATCTGAGAGTTTTGGCTTTCCTGCAGTGGAGAGAGATGTGCTGTTTTTATCAGGACACGTCTGCTTTTAATCACGCGACAATCTGCTGCTGAAACTGAGTGTTTTTACTGTGTCTAGTTTCAAACACCGAGTGCGTCTCAGCTGGAAGTGGAAAAGGGAGCTGGATGCAATCCAGCGCTGCATCAACTTTGATCCATTAACGTGACCTAATTGTATTTGTGTACTATTGGGGGATGATGATGCAGAGTAAAAGGGCTGAAATAGGTCAAAAGTAGAGTCACAGCCAGACCGGCACAATCTGTTGTTCTATATTTGTGTGATTCATTGTTGGAAACGTGATTTATAAAAGCAAAAGGTCAATTCAGTTTCTCTAACCGCCATGCTGACTCTCTTTTAATGTGGGAACTGTTTGGTTTCTGCATTAATTTTATGTCTTGACCTTATTATGTTACGATTTGGTGCTTAACATTGAACTGAATTGAATACCTTTTATTTTAGTTCATTCTTTTTTTGTGAAGCACTTGTTTCGATAAGTGCTGTACAAATAGTTATTATATTATTATTATTTTACCCACTGCGTCATTCATAATGAAGCAGGAAAAAAATATAACTTCTTTGAATAAAAGCAACATTTCTGCACTTACTGATGTGATGACCTTTTTATTAGGTCCTCCGATTCCTGTTGGAGTCGATGTTCAGGTTGAAAGTCTGGACACCATCTCTGAAGTGGATATGGTGAGTACAAAGCCTGGTTGGAAACTACAACTACTACTACCTAACTCTATATAAAACTAACAGGAAAACACTACTTAGGCACTGATGCATCACTATTAACAATCTTTAATGTCATAAATAATAAAACTGTCAGTGACATGAGAACATTTTACTGCACAACCACAACTTTAACTTTGATATTTTGTGTAATTAGCAGATAGTACTTTTACCAAAGTAATATTTTGAGTGCAAGACTTTTGCTATTTTAGAATTTTTACATTTTACTTCATAAAGAGAATTTCCTCAACCACTGTTCAACACCTCCAGTGTTTTCCACCTTTCTGTAGGACTTCACTATGACACTGTACCTGCGTCACTACTGGAAGGACGAGCGGCTGGCGTTTCAGAGCACCAACAACCAGAGCATGACCTTTGACAGTCGCCTGGTGAAGAAGATTTGGGTTCCTGACATGTTCTTCGTCCACTCCAAGCGCTCTTTCATCCATGACACCACCACGGATAATGTCATGCTGAGGGTGTATCCTGATGGCAACGTCCTCTACAGTCTCAGGTGAACACACTGACTGGGATGTGCCTTTCTGATTGTCCGTGAAGTTGTTTCTGCAAACATATTTGAAAAAAAGAGATATAACCAGTCAGTAAAACATTTCCAACAGAATATATTTTGTACTTTCACTGTGTGATGAAGAAACAAAAACATGCCACATGAAAAGAACACATAGAAGACGTCAGAAGACCTAAAGATCACCATTGATTTACTGTAATGAATTTCACCATAGGCGAAAGGTCCAATATTTGATAATTGTAATCAGTGTAGCTTACGAATGTGACAGCACTAATCAGAGGAGAACATCATTATACTGTGACTCTGGTATGTACCAGTTTCCCGTAGGGCGTCTATAACCTTTGTAATCAGGAAAATGCTTTATATTCACAAAGACAGCATGGTATTAGATCATTTGATTTGAAAATAAATGTGATAACAAGAGAGTATAACATATGTGGGATAAAAATAAAACAACAGCGCAGGCAGTTAACACAGGAAGAAACTGAAAACACATGAAGAAGATCAGAGAGGAAGAGTCACAGGTTTAAAAGAACTCAAAGAAATCAAATGAAACAGTAAATAATAGAACCCGTCTGATTCATCGGTTGGCTGATAAAAGTCAGCTGATTTAAAATGTTTTGAAACCTTTATTTTTCAGAATTTACAATGCACAAAACATACATTTATGTGTATACCGGTATTTTGCATGAAAAATATGAATGAATATAATTCAACTTCTAATTGGCTGTAGTTGTGTTTTCTTTTCTATTTATAATAAATTAAATTAAATAAACATATGACTGCTGATTTATTGGTATCCTACATTTTTTGACAAATATCGGTATCAACATCAGCACTCAAAAATCCACATTGTAGTCTATTACTTCTAATTTTATTTTTTTCGGTTGATATTTACATTAATTTGTGAATTTAGTCTAAATTGCTGTTGTTTCAAAGTTGAGTTTTTCTTCGCGTCTCTGCTGTTTCCCCTGCAGAGTCACTGTCACTGCCATGTGCAACATGGACCTGAGCCGCTTCCCTCTGGACACCCAGACCTGCTCGCTGGAGATCGAGAGCTGTGAGTGGTTATTATCAATCATACGGACAAATATATCAACCAGACACTTGAGTCTAGATCGACATTTACATTTTGATAACCAGGTCCCAGATTACCTTAAAACATTGTGTAATATTTATGGTTTTCAGGTTGATAAATAGACAAAATAGCTGTAAAACCTTTTGTTTGTTTACTGATCACTTTCAAAAACCCAAGTTCATTGAGTGCTCACTCAATGAACTTTTCTCTTTTGTCCTTCTAAAGCCAAAATATGTAATTTGCTATCAGATATCCCATGAAATCTCAGACACATTATACCATAAAAGATTTTGAGCATGTAAACAGAATAGATATCTTTAATTCTAATGACCCTTTCCCCTTGTATAAACCCCACAGCGTCACTACTGCTGAGCCACTAACAGTCGCAAAATCATAGCGTGCTGTGAATATTTCAGTCTCCAGGGACTGCTGGTGGTGCTTTACACTGGTAGTCTTGTCATGTTTTATCATTTTGTCACGCATTTTGTTCACATTCGCATCCAGCATTGTTCATACTAAATCTTATTTGGTTCGTTACAGATGTACTCACTTCTACATATTGTCCCACCAGATGCATACACAGACGATGACCTGATGCTGTACTGGAAGAAAGGAAACGAATCCCTCAACACTGACGACAGAATCTCTCTGTCCCAGTTCCTCATCCAGAAATTTCACACCACCACCAAGCTGGCTTTCTACAGCAGCACAGGTACTGCAATCCACCACATCGCCACTTCCAATACATCCAGTAAACTAAACTGATTATGCAAATGGACCAAATGTGTAGTTGCATGTACAAGTTAAACAGTTCACATGGAATTTTACTTTCAATTTCCCCAGCTGAAGCACCAAGTTTTCCTTATGTAATATCGATATCCCCCGAATGTTGCACCAAAGAAGAATGCAATAATATTTAATCCTTACTGTGAAACCAAATGAATCCATAGTCTGCCAACCCTCTGTAAAGCCCTGCAGCCTGTCACTAACCACATGTCACCTAGAGGCTCACAAGAACAACCTGAAGCATAAAAATGGATTTTACGTCCTATCTTTCTCTGCCAGAATAGCCGGGGAACAACTGCTTCAAGTGTCTGTACCGTGCAGCAGCAGCTAACATGTGACAATGATATTATTTTCTTCCTAAAGGCTGGTACAATCGTTTGTACATCCACTTCACCCTGCGGCGACACATCTTCTTCTTCCTGCTGCAAACCTACTTCCCTGCCACTCTGATGGTCATGCTGTCCTGGGTGTCCTTCTGGATTGACCGCAGGGCTGTGCCCGCCAGGGTGCCACTAGGTATGATTCCACACGTGTGGCCTTTACAAATAAACCACTTTGTATAGGTCCATCAAAATGTGAGGAATTGATTTCTTACGAACAATTTTATAATACTAAAGAGGTCTGGTCTCCCTCTAGTTTATGGTTCATGATAAGATAAGATAAGATAAGATAATCCCTTATTAGTCCCACTATGGGAACATTTGCTGTGTAGACACTGTATACACCCCAATCAGGTAATGCTAACTTCTTTATATCGTAATAATGTCCCCTCACAATGATGTCATCATGACTATTCACTGGGACTTCCTCATGATGTCAATTCAGTGATCATTTTTTAATGAATTATAAAGGCCTCAGATTGTCTCTGTGGCTCAACAATTTGCAAAAATATCTTACTGTGTTTTTTGAGACCATGACCTTGACTGATTTGTACCAACACTTACAGGGGTGCTTTACAGAGCAGTTTAATGCTAACAGCAGCATGTCAAACTCACAGAGACAAGCAAATATACAGCTTGCTAATGTTACCATCTTTCTTATTTAATAATGTCAGCATGCTGACACCTGCTAAATTGCTCTAAAGACTAATTACTGCAGAGGCTGATGTGAATGTAATTCAGTTTGAACAGATTTAGTCATCGTGGGAATAGACGATGACAGTGTCTCACCACAACAGCCAGAGACAAACCATTCGCTTTTCACCATTCTTTATTCAAAAAACATAAACTCACAAATCTCTTCACTTAAAGTGGCCAGCAAGTTCTGGTGGCCTCCAGCTTTGCAGCTCAGCTCTGTCTCTCAGGAAGTCTCTCTCCTGTGTGGCAGCTCAGTTGCTGCCTTTTGAGGGGGAGAGTTGATCGGCCAACTAGTCTCAGCTTTGCCAATCACCCCCCCCTGCTTCTCCAGCCATCTCCACATAACAAACCAAATTCCTGGACACATTTGGCATTATAGGCAATTTGAATCATTATGTACATTTGCAACAAAATGTATGGGAAAAAAATCAATTCTCTAGCCCAAATGCTGCTTCTCTAGCTTCCCTACAGTGAACAATAAAATATGAGAATAAAACAGATACTAGACTTTGAACACGACTGGGCTCATATGTGCATCCCTCTGTGTTTTGTAACAGCTGGATACAGTAAATAAAATCTCTGCTGTTTGTTTCGTTTTGCTCCCCTCCAGGCATCACCACAGTCCTGACCATGTCCACCATCATCACCGGGGTCAACGCCTCCATGCCGCGGGTCTCCTACATCAAAGCAGTGGACATTTACCTCTGGGTCAGTTTTGTCTTTGTCTTCCTGTCGGTGATAGAGTACGCGGCGGTCAACTACCTCTCCACTGTGCAGGAGAGGAAAGAGAGGAAGCTGAGGGAGAGAGTAAGTGAGATATTCTCTGTACGGTTAATAGTTCACTTATGAAATGTTGATCATTTAATGTTTCACAGTGACAAATGAGACTGGTCGCTCTGTGTTGTTCCTCTTTTAACCAAACCAGTGGAATGATTTATTAGAGGACGTTTTCTTGCCAGATGTGAAGTTTATTATTATTTTTTTTTTAAGTAAAAGAACAAATGAATTTACCTCTGATTAAGCTTCATTTTGGCCCACATGTCCTATTCCAATGAGGGAACAAAGCTGTGCAATGTTTACTTGTATTCTGGTCATGTTAACAGAAGAGAGAACATCTTTCTAACCAAGTAAGGAGGTTAGTACGAGGAGTAAAACGTCTGAGTGTGTGGCCAACATATTCCCATGTTACTTTCAATTTTCACGTTCACGATGTTCTTCATGAATGATTCATGAAAAACAGTTGTTCTAATTGTTGTGGTTTGAACAGGGTTTCTGAAGGTTAAAACAAGTTAGATTTATTCCTAAGACCATAATAAGCAAAAAAGGCAAATGTCAAGTACAAGAGATATAAACCAGTGGCAATGTCCCTGAATTACTTACACTTCCATAATTGAAGATAAGCTTAAGTAGCAAAGTAGAAAATAACCCTCAATATTCCAAGTTATCTCGCATTGGTAGCAAAGTTAACATCTACCTTCATGTATTTAAGATGTAGTACTTAATATTATACCATATTTAAGATTTTTTAAGGCCTAAAATTCAGGTTATTTTTTAAGACCTTGCAGAAACCCTGTTAAGTCAGACACCAACACTAATGGATTCATGTTTAACAGCTAATATGATTTTAAAACTCTTTACAGGATGATTTGAATATCCACCCAATGTGGATAAAATTCTATCATCTTGTAATAGTTGCAAATAAAAATGTCTCTGTCATTAAAAGCGAGAAAGGGGACAGCCAAAGTAAGTATGAAACATTAGAGTTTGTAAGTAAGTCACACAACACAAAGACGTCTGACCTGATTTTATATTAGAAAAATGTACCCATTAGAATATTTCTGAATTGGCAGAAGCATGAATAAATTATTTATGTTCATTTCCACTAAACAAATAAATATTTACTAAATTGGCTCACTTAAAGCTGCTTGAGGGGCGATGGCAAATTATTTCTGGGACTCGAGCTTGTGTACTTTATGACTATTCTTCATCTGCCAAATGTTGCAGCATATGGAGCCAAATTGCCCACGTAGCCTCGGGTACATTTCCTGCACAAACATCCTTCTATTGAATGTTTCATTCCAAAGTTGTTTAAAAGCCCTGAGTTTGCAGAAACATCCGACAAACCAATGTTTTTATTTGCCTGTTACAGTTTGAGTTAGAACTTTTATGAAAGTAGTGTCTATTTTTACCAGAGTGTCCAAGTGTCAATTTACTGTTTGGTGTCCGTTTTACCTCTCTAGCTGCCGTGCACTTGTGGCATAGGCAACCCAGACGAGATGATGATCGACCCCCAGATCACTGGCTATGGGTCCATGGATGTCAACACCACAGGGAATTATGGGATGCCAGAGAATGGCGGCCGCCAAGAGCGAATCTTGGCCCAGGTGGCACTGAACGACCCGCAGATCACAGGCCAAGTAAAGCCAACCAGGGGCTACGTGAACATTTGGATAGACACCCACGCCATAGACAAGTACTCGAGGGTTGTCTTTCCTGGTGCGTACATCCTCTTTAACATCATCTACTGGTCCATCTACTCATAACACGGGCTGCAGAAGTGGGACATGTGTAAGAGACATCTGTGACGGGACTCCAGGAGCTCGGCTTGTTTGTATAAGAGCAGGAAAGACGCCGCTTTTGATTCTTTTCAGACAGAGAAACTGCTCATTCGATGAATGGAGACCACTGACAGACTGGTGATCATTGCCTTCTTGACCCAGCCACTTAAAACAGAGGTACTGACAAACTGGACAGCCATCAACGATTGATTTATCAATCCATCAAATCTATGTTGTATCTTTAGTGTTGTTGATGGAAAGTTTCGATATTGTCGCTGCATGAAGCTTTACTGCACAAACACACCAACACAAACTGTGCAACTATGTGCAGATTAACTCACCAGGGGTATGATTCTGGATGCAGTGAAGGAAAATGTCAACATGGATTTCTGACAATGCCAGCACATGGACAGATTCCTCCCTCTTTGCGAAGAAGTAGACTTGACAATCAAAAGCAAACAAATCATTTTCAAAGGAATAGCGTGACATTTTGTGAAATGCATTTATTTTGTTTTCTGGTTCAAAGATTAATACCTTTCTAATATCTGTCTGTTAAGGCCTAACTATAAAGCTACAGACATCAACCAGATAGCTTAGCTAAGCACAGAGACTGGAAACAAGGGGAAAAGCTAGCCTGGCACTGTGTGAAGGTGGTCATCTCTAGCTCACATGCTAAGAGGTTTCATCTTGTCAAAATGTTTTCTAGATGGTTATGTGCCAAACAATTTTATTGCTGAGATCAGAAACTTCCTGGACACTTGGTTTTCACTGGTCGGGTACATAATACTGTTAAAAATACTGTAAATCATCTAACTGTTGGATTTACACCTCAGTGTTTGTTTGGATTGACAAATGAAATGTAACTTATTAATAAGTGAACTGTAGAGGTGCTGGTTGGCAGATTTGATCGTCAATTCTCATCTAACTCATCGCAAGAAAGCAGATAAGTGACATTTTCCAAAATGTGGAACTATTTCTTTAAAAGCCGGATAATCCAATTATTCTTAATGTTCAAATCTTCTGCAGCACGTTGGTATGATTCAGTCTTTGTTACATTCTCTTGTGATCTTTGTATTAATGCAAGTATTTTAATGTTGAGCTAATTACTGCATAGCATTTTTGTCATTTGACAAAGTTCATAAAAAAAACGCTAAATATTTAAGTCTATTAAAGTCACAAGTGTAAAAATATATGTTTAGTAAATCCCAAAATATTGAAAATTATATTAACTTTTGTTTTTTTAATTCTCATTTCTTTTTTTTATACAACTGAAGCTCATCTCCTCTGTTTGGTGTTGTGAGGCTTTGAGGTTCACTGTGACCTCTTAGTTGCTAGTTTAATCATTTTTTCAGCTTAAAACAACTTTATACTTGGTTAAACATTTAAAAAACATCTTTTGGTGGTTCATAAGAAAATTTAATGTCCAAAAAAAGAGGTATACATTTAACTAATGACATATGTTATATGTGAGAAGGTGTTTAATAAATGTTTGGTTTTCTGAAAATGTGATTATTTGAGCATTTGAGGTTTGGAGCTGAACAACAGAACCACAATAAAGCATTTTAAACCTTCTCCAGAGGCATGGCTGAAAATACGTTTTCTAACACAAATTTGTGACCACAAAGTTTGTGTTAGTTGAAGGTTTGACTCCTCATGTTTCCAAAATATCCCTTTTCCCTGTTTTTTAATACTCTATATTCAAACAGTGCTGGGGGATAAGCTTTCACAGTTATTAGACATTGGACTCCTACCAGCTCCAGGGCTTCTCTTCACTCTCTGGCACAAGTATGATTGCTGATGAGCATTCATACCCAAATCGCTTTTAACGGCATATTCTGTAATACCATTAACTGCTTGCATGCGATGTGGTATAGTAAGTCTGAGACCACCTTTGTTGTCTCTTTTCTCTAAACCTTTTTATTTTTTTCAATTTCTCCAAATAATGTCCCACAGGGCGTGGTGACAGTTCCGCCTTAGTGAACCATCATTCTGCAACAAGCCTGAACAAGAGCATTGCTGCAGAAGAGAGACACGAAAAAGATTCAAACATCAATAAGATGTCCGTAACCTGATTTTCCACCATATCTGTGACCACTGAATGTGTGCTGCTGAAAACATGCCCAGAAATCTTAACCACTCCAAGTGAAATATCCAGAAATGAGACTGCAGCCTGTTGGCACAGTGTATCTGTGATGATTCTCAGTCATCCAGGTCATGGTGTCCTCAGGAGTCGTACGGGTTTACACAAGCAAGTCCAGGAGCTAATATAAACACGTATCTCCTGAACTTAACAACAGTGGTGCATTGAGCTAGATGCTCACTGAACTTAGAGTGTTAGCATGCTGACATCTGCTTGTTAGCATTAAATGTGAGCTACAGCTGAGGCTGATGGCAACGTAATGATCAGTTATAAGGTCATAAAATACTAAACAAATGCTGCTAGTAACAAACTGATCACTTTTATCCATTGGGGAAGAAGTGTTCCATCATTTTTGACTTAATGACTTAAAACAGCAGCAAGGATGGTGGATTTAAATGTTTTCCCATTAATCATAGCTTCACCTTATTTTTTTAACACATGACTATTTCTTATAATGTTAATCTGTGAAACTTACTCATTCCACTCTCTCCCTATATGAAGGTGGACTATGTTACTAAATATTAGCACCCTCCACCTCCCTTGAATTCCTTATTATTTTTCATATAATTATTATCACAGTTGGTGCATTTAATGAAGCCTTCAAAGCTGCATCATTTCTCCTGTTTCAGTTTGGCCAGGCCGAAATCTTCTCTCACTTTCCTGAGCAGATCGGGGCAGCACACTACATCCACAGCTGTCATAGCCAGGGTTTTGGCTGTCCTCAGGGTGAACAACTGGGCTGTCTCAGCTCCTAGTGCAGGAAAAACAGGAGGAGGAAAATAAAGCACGGAGTAAACAGAAAGTAAACAGGAAAACGAAGTGACCTGGAAAGAAATGACGTCTGTGAAGATGTCTGATCGAGATGCATTTCAACTTTTGTTACAAGAAACAACATCTGTTCCCGATAAGACTCGTGCTGCCGTACCTGCTGCTTCGGTGTATTCCTTTGTGTGGTTAAATGCATCTGTGCCGATGTAGAAGAAAGGGTGGATGCCAGGAAGTATGAATGAGACGTTGCCAAAGTCTGTGGAACCTGCCAGATGACAATACATCCACTGTGATTATGATTCTGTGCTCATCAAGTAAACAACAATAAGACAATAAAGATCTGCTGCGTTCACAGCCCCAGGGGTCACAGCAGGAATCTTTTTGAGGATTGTTTTGTGTTCCTTTGTGTTCCCTTGCTATAGTAGTGTGTTACCTGGCAATAGCTTCCTGTTGCCGTTATGCAACAATGTCATCTCACTAGGTGCAGACATCTGCATCCTTGCAGTAGCTTGACAGCATTCTGCAGATCAGATCGTGTAAATTCACTGTCACTAATTATAAAACCATGCTTGTTTTGCAGTAGCACTATATCATGCCCAATTTAAAGTAAAATTCAATAAGCTGATCCAGTGGGATGAGCTGAAATGGGCTACATAATAATGTGTGGATACTTGATCCAAGCCTATTGGGAACCTTCAGGACGTGATAGGCCGGGCTGAGATTGGACAAAAACTTTGACCCAATTTTTTTAGACGTTAACGTCGACTGGGCTGAAAGTGCCTGTGTCTGAAAACAAGCAAATAACGATGTGTGTTAGTCTAACACAAACTCCAGTGACTGCATTGGGTCGGGTCTGAACACAAAAAACTGAATGGCTGTTGGGCTTAGCTGGGTTAGTTTTCTCTTTAGCTCGGAGAGATTCAAAGAGAAAAATGCAACACTCCAAACTCATATGACTCAGAAGGAATAAAAGAAGAAAAATACTGTGAAACAACACAATGTGAATCGTGAGGTAAAATAAAAGAAGCTCTCAAAGAGAGTCTGGCCGTGATCCTTAAGGGGCTCTGAAGCTGAGTCACTTATTATGATTTACACGTACAGGGAAAGAAAGAGATGATGATTTCTTTTGCTGTGATATTTAGATTTTTACTCACCAGAGAAGTTTTCTGGCTGCTCTGCAAACTGAATCTCTAAAGCTTTCCCATTTTTTTCATACAGGCTTGACAGTGTGGCATTAGGGAGAATGTTGGAGTAAGCATGGGACGGGTAGATTATCTCCACCTAAAGGGAACACAAGTTGAGCCTCATCCATAAAATGTAGCATGAACATATTTAAGTTAGTTAAGTATTTAAGTTGTATATTGACAACATATGAAGCCATGCACACTTTATGTGGGGCAAACCTGCAAATGTAGTTATGCATTATATAACAGTAGAATAGCAATCAGAGCATAATTACAGGAATGTGTTAAAAGGGCAAAGTTATATAACAGAAGAGTCAGTGTCGACATTGTATTTCTCCTCTATATCAATACACTGTTTGTTTGTTCCTGTGCTTCAGTGTTTATCTACAGAGGAGGGACACAATGTGAGTGGAGCCCAGAGGAACACTGTATTTTTAGGTAAGATTACTTGGCAACCAGTTGCCACGGCAGCTGCCCTGAAGCAAGCCTCTGCTTTGCCCTTGAGGTCACGAAGATCCTTCACCAGTGGCGTGCGCAGATAAAACTCTAACTCTGTGTAGGCGGGGATAATGTTGGGCTTCTCTCCTCCGTGTGTAATGATGCCTGAAGACAAGAAAATGCAGACGATGAGCAAGAGAGCGGCAATGATGAATGAATCCATATGTCTACTATCTAACTACTACTAACTATCCCATATTACTGGGGTTTGTTGTTTCTGATTTCCATTAGTGATTAAACATTTGGTGAAAAGGTGAAAATAGTCCCGTTACTGTATAGTTTAAATGGTAAAGATGATACAGAGGCAGAGTTAGAGGGTCATTTGTGAGAATTGATTATCTATATTACAACAAAATCAAACGTATCCGGTTTCTGGCGCACTTTACACATTTATTAGAGAGAGAAGGAAAATTAAGGGAGAGAACGATGGAGACCCTACATCTGTTTCTATATGTTGTTTTATAGGTTTATTTGAGTGTGTGCGTGTCTTTTCATGCGACTTCTTCAACACCAACAGAGCTTCTATTTTTATCAAACTGACATTTTATTGATTCCCATAGGGTTCTTTTGTTTCCGTGGCAGCTAAATTCAAACCTTTATACAGCAGTTTGACTCCCAGGAGGAGCACACCCCTCATTCAGTCCTAAGAATTGGCCACAGTGATGCCAAATCTTTGGTCTGACCCTTGAGTACTGAGAAATAGCCAGGGTCAAGAAAAAAACGTGAACTACTGCTGACACAGCTTTCGTGTGCTCCTCACCATGAAGCCTCCACTCTGGTTTCATCTGCTGCCTGAGCACAGAGATGTTGTTGTAGGCCAGGACAGCGGCATCCAGGGCATTCACTCCCTCCCAGGGGTATGCACCAGCATGAGAGGGCTTCCCGTGGTACTTCACTGACACCCTGCACAACATCAGCATAGGTAAGAGTTTAAGAGTTGTCTGCAATATGTACAGGTTACTGGAGTTAATTAAGAGGGAGAAAAGCCACAGAAGGAAGTTGTGAATCCATATGAGCTGTGAAAGGCTACGTACACCTCAAGGGCCACACCGGGCAGGAAGGAAACGTCCTGCTGGGTCGGATGAGCCATGAAGACGAGGTCGAGGTCATCGAATGCCCCCGCCTCCATCAGGTCGATCTTTCCTCCTGTGTTCTCCTCTGCAGGAGTTCCCAGAACAGTTACCTGGTTAAAGAAGAGCTTAAATCAGTCATTGGACATAAATATCACCTCATGTGTGTCAGTCGTTGTGGCCTCTCAGATAAGATGGATTAAGAAAGTTCATTTGTGACCTTGGAAACAGAATATAAAAAATACTCTTTCTTTTGGGTGACATTAATCACAATAACCGGTCTAATGTTTTCCAGTGTAGTGGATTTAGTTTTTTTTATCATAACTTGTTAAACTAGTTCAACTTCTGTCTTTTTCTTCTTGAAATGTTTTTATCCACAACATGATAGAAAACACTTCACCAAAGGTCCAGTGTGTAAGATTTAGGTGAAGGGGCTCTTTTAGCAGAAATTGAATATAAAATAATCCTATGGTGATATTTTCACTAGTGTGTTTTGTCTAAATTGTAGTTTTCTTTACCCTAGAATTGGCCCTTTATATTTAATGTACATTGAGAGCAGCTGCTCTCTATGGAGTCCGCCATGTTTTTTACAGCAGCCAAAAACTGACAACCTAAACACCTTTTGAGTTTTTATGACAACTAAAGGTTACCACACAACTTTCATGTTTGGAAGCGGACGGTGAGGTGAAGGGTATTCAGCTGCAACATGCAACTTCACCACTAGATGTCACTAAATTCTACACACTGGACCTTTAAATGTGACCCATTACATTGAGCTTATATAAATGTCTGTTGACATTTAGGCTAAAAGACAAGTATAGTAGCACTTTATGTTCATTGTGTATGTTCCATCGACATAGATAGAGAGTGAATTTTCATTTTTGGGTGAACTATCTGAAGTTACATGGACATGTTGTGTGTAATTGAAACATGAATGATAGTCATCTTGTTCAGAGTGGACTCTTCACCTTCACTGGGACAGGGAGCTGCTGACTGTGCTTCTCCACCGCAGCTCTCAGCCCCGCAGCGGCCGCAGCTCCCACCTCCGCGATCAGGTTGTGCCCGCAGGCGTGTCCGATCCCCGGCAGCGCGTCATACTCGCACAGGAAGCCCACGTTCAGCACCGGCTCACACCCGCTGCCGCCGCCCGCCGGACCCCAGGTGGCCCGGAAGGCGGTGGGCAGCTTGTAGCGGCTCTGGACGGTCCAGCCCCGGTCCTCCTGGGAGAAGAAGCGGAGCAGCCGGTCGTGGGCGAAGGTTTCCTCACCGCCGAGTTCAGGACGGATCCATATGTCCCGGCTCAGACCGTGCAGCTGCTCTGACAGGGTGTCTATGTGCAGCTGCAGCGTGTCCTTCATCTGCTGCTCTGTCTCCATGTGTCCTCACTGTCCTCACTGATAACTTTCACCTTAGAGCTGCTGGAACTTCGTCTGACGTCAGAGAGGAGTCACAATCTCCTCTTAGAGATAGTGGCAGGGGGCGGAGCTAGCTGCCCACGCACCGGAAGTAGTTTCAGGTTTTGATGGAAGTTTAGGTTGTGGTCATAATGGATTGTTGGCTAAACTTGTAAACACTACAATCACACACCACAATCATACACTATAGATTACAATCATAGACTACAGTCATACACTTGAATGTAGCCTATTCCCTTCCTCCCAACCAGAGCCGGCCCTAGCCTTGATGGGGCCCTGAGCAGAATTTGATTTGGGGGGCCCCCCACCTCACAGTATGGATGGAGAGGATGGAGCAGCTCTAGCAAAGTCCGGCCGATGCACTCGCACAACCAATTCCAAATTGGCTGTCAATGACACTCCAACTAATTTTTATAGCACTAAATAACTAATGAAAACCAAACTTACGTTGACGTATAAGAACTAGATAAAATGACAGAAGCCCTTTTTGAATAACATTTATTTGACATGCACAAGCTTTTTAGTCTAGTTCATGTCCCATCCACTAACATGGAGGGGGCAGGGTTCATCACCTATACTGCAGCCAGCCACCAGGTGGCAATCAAAATGTCCCTTTTTGGGACCTGTCATGTCTAATTCAGTTTACTTATTTATTATTTTGTTGATTTAAACATGGCAAATTTTCTTTGAATGTGGAATCTGTGGTTTCAGTGGACATGGTTATAGTTTTTTCTGCTTCTCTGCTAGATTCACCACTATGAGGTTATTGTTTTCACTACTGCGCCAGTAAAGAAGACTAAGGAGACAAAGAATCCTGCATTTTCCATTGAAGCCTCTGCTGCTTAAAATTGTTCAAATGAAAAGAAAAAAAGAAAATCCATGAAATAAAATTCAACTGAAGTGTTGAATCATCAACTGTTTCAGAGGTTTGCTTTAGCACTCAACTTCATACAATACTGTAATGTACTAATGTTGCATGCTTACATTAGGTTTGATGTAAAATGAAAGGATTCTCTCTTTCTAATACCAGACCCATCTCTCTGAAGCAAGGTGAGGATCGCCATCTGCTGGCCACGATTATACTCACATTACACTTGACCGCCTACAACTGTAGAAACTACATGGCTTCTGTTGAACTGAACCGAAACATTAAATTAAAATGTAATTGTTGGAGGGTTTAAACATGCTCACACACACACAATGAATCACCACATATATAAGAATGCAATTCAACAATAAAACGAAAGTCCAGAAATAAAATCTTCCCACAAACCAACTCACATCTTTGCATATGAGTGATGTGCATACATGGTATATGTCAGATCATGGGCCTCCTATAGACGACTGTGATATGCTGTGATGAATGAGAGTAAATATAATGCCACAGTAGAGGGACCCAGAGAGACATACTCTGGTAAAAGGCTCCTTTCCCTCATGGTTCTGATTTGATTTCTTTTGAAGATGAAATAATTAAATATTCTGCAGCTTTTCATCTTTTACCTTGAACAATATAAAAGAATGAATAGAAAATATCTTCTTTTTTTTTATTATTGTCTACAGCCACTAAGGTGGTTCTACTCCTGCAGCAAGCAAACAATTATTTCCCTCACTGAGGATGAACTGGGATCTGTCAATGAAAAACAAGGTCAATTAGTTCTGAATGAATAAAGACAAAGCTCCACAGCTGCTACGCTGTGAGTGTGTGTGTGTGTGTGTGTGTGTGTGTATGTGTGTGTATTTGAGAGTGAGCAGGTGTATATGTATGTGTTCTCTGCCTGTATTTGGGTTGGGGGTTAATTGGGGGCGGCTGTCACAGGAGGAGACATGTTGAACAGCGCTCAGAAAGATGACACCAACACGGCCTCCTGACATGTCCTGTCTGTCAGCTTACTTCACGCCTCACTGGTGACGCACTGACACTCCACCGTGCATCAATTAAGTGACATGGAAAGGAGGAACCCATGTGTCGCCCCCATTGTTTTTTACCAGGAGATTTGCCTTGCGAGCATGTGCATGAGTTCACATGATTACACGTTTTTGGCCTCTTGTATCGGCCTGTGCTTGAATGTGTTAATGTGGCTGAGGACTTTTATTGTTTTTTCCAAGAAGATTCTTTCAAACAGCACATCACACGGATGGAGTCTGAGGATAAGAGGTTCCTGATAAAACCATTTCAGCTTCAGAGGAGAAAGGAAACCAAATGTAAAATAGATTGCACACTGAGTGATGCTACAAATAAAAGCTCTGTCTACTCCCATGACACACTGAGCACATGATATATACGTTTGCGGGAGGTAAATATTTCATAAAGCATAGATATTTTAGACTGAGCCAGCAGGGATCCCACAGAGCAGGAGTGTTGCACGAGATATGATGTGTGCATGCGGCACGCCCCAAAGGAAGGCTGGTTTGACAGTTACAAAGAATGGATGAGCCCCTGATGACAGCCTGTCTGAAATGAGGGATGAGACAACTAACAAATAATGCCTGCATGTATATTTGTAACCGCTGCGAGTGTGGTCCACATATTCATGTGTTTGTGTCTCTATGCCAGAGTGAAAAATTCAAATTGTGAGATTTATATCAACAACAATATGCCCAGTTTTGGTTCAACATATTTTGGTTCTTCCCATTTTTGCAAAACAATTCTGATGCAAACATTTCCAGGTAATATATGAAGGCTTCTTTGTGTGGAATCTATGTATGTGGCCTTCAGCAACATACAGTATGTCAGCTTTCATAACTGTCCGTCAGTAATGGTTCCTTCTTCAGTTCTTTTCCACTGAAGGACGATAGAGTTGAATTGAATTAAATTTAATTAAGTATTTCACCTATAGGACACAAAGACTCAACAATTTCACCTTATTAATGGAACATTTCATATCCTCAGGAAAGAGAACCAAGATGCAAAGACATATGGGTAATGATCCATTTCTACTGCAACATTTTCAACCCAGTATTGATAGTCAGAGTGATTCATACTTATTGAGGGTTGTCTTTTTCAAAAGCGGATCCTCTCTCTGCCCAGAGTTTAATTCTGAGACAATTCAGAGTCAACACCCTCATAAATGCATCTCATAATATTAAAGGAAGTGAAAAAAAAATCCTGGATCCGACCCCAGATCTGCACCAAACATTCTTTGCTGACTCAGAACACCTCATCAAGTTTCATGTTAACGTGTCCAGTGGTGGGTAATCCTGCTGAATAACAGACAAACACACATAACCTCCCTGGTGGAGGGGAAGTGATCCTATTGAACCCACAGATAAAACAAAGCATTTTTTTCCCTCTCATCATTGTTTTTTTATTTTTTGAACCAGAACTCTACACAAGGAACATTTCATTAGGGTCCAAAAACTTAGACTGGGAAACACAGTTTCAGTCAGTTAACTACAAATCACATACAGTTTTTAAAGCATTTAGCAAAACACGTTGCTTCACTCAATTTATTTAGTTTGTTTCTCTGTTTTTAAAACTATTTGATTGATTTGCTGCCTGAAACTGTATTTCTCTGTTATAGCACAACTTTTTGCTTTTCCCCAGCATTCAACATTTTTTTCATGCCTTGCTATTCATTTACAGTAGTTTTGTCTCAACTGGGCTTCCATATTAGCCTCTATTCGACCAATTCACTGTTCATCCTGACAGGATGTTGATGAGGCTGATTTTAAACATGAGATTCAAGTTGACTAAAGCAAAGTGACAATGTGTCATTCGTGCTTGCTCTGTCCTGTCAGTATTACTATCAAACAAAACGTACCCCTATAGGAGTCCCCCGGAAATCCAGCCTGCAACGTTCAATATTGCACAGCAAGCTGCTTGGTAGTTGGAAAATATCCCCCAAGGGCCTTGGGAGTATTTGTGTGTGTGTGTGTGTGTGTGTGTGTGTGTGTGTGTCTGTGTTTGCAACATGACAGTCCTGTTTCTGTCATTAATGTCACATCAGTGCACACAATGTGCCGCTGCGTTCTCCAAGCTGGAATACATTAACACCTCGGTTTATCAAGTCATCGTGCACCTTCAGGGGGTGATGTGGGGGTGGGATTACTCTGAGCAACATTTCTTCATGTTTTTGTGAAGCACGGTGGTTTGTGATTGAACGTAGCTCCATTCTAATCTTGAGAGCAAGTTAACAAAAATACTCTTTTCAATGTCAGGTTTTGTGCAGGTGAATTATGTTATAAATCAGCTACTTTAGAAAAGTAATCCGCATTTTCATAGACATGCACTGAACTCAAATGTCCGAATCTGTTGCTCAGGACAGTTGCACCCAAGTCAAATGTTCAGAAAATGTATGCGTGAAACCATGTGTGAGTGAGTGGGTGTGTTGATGAAGTGTCTAACACACCAGAAATCCAAACTGAAGAAGAAACCCAAAAAGAATACAAGAAAAAAGATGTCTTACATGTAGATGACACCAAAGAAGATGTTAATTGGAAAGACAGTGATATCTTTCTGAGAGCTTTTAGTTTTTATTTACGTTATTCAACTTACTTAATTAAATTATCTTTTCAAAGAATTCAAATGAATGAATTGTATATTCTAATTTAAGTCTTTTTCTCCTCCTAGACGAAATACTTCAGAATCACCTTGAACAGCAGTCTCCATCTGTAGGATTCTGAACCTTCTAAAGAAACATTGTACTTTTCTTAAAGCAATTGAGAAGCAAGTAGATAGTGTTTGCAAAGATTAAATCAATGCTAACACATCAACTGTGAGAATAACTGCTGTGTAAAATGTGGAGAGCACAAAATACAATGGAGGATTTGAGAAAAACGATGTTGAAGTGCCACACATCTGCAAAACATCAAAGCGATGACTGCAGAATGAAAATGTCTTGTCTAGATTTGTGTTTGAACTGAACAAAATTCCACCGTCTTCTGGCTGAGCTGCATTTTCTCTTCTGTCCTCCCGAAAAGTCCACACAGCTGCACTCAGTGCTTCAAAGGAAGCCCTGCTGCTGCGCTGCCCTTTCTTTGTCTGACAGCACTGAAAAGGCTGCTGTCTCCCCCCATAACATCAGCCTTTGTGGGCAGTGTGCTGAACAGTGGGAGTACGAG